AAACAACATAAACAAGCATTACATGAGCTGAACTCAAAATCAATATATGAACTATTGAATTGACTAAAACTATTTATGTGCTATTGTGTTACAATTGTTGATATGCTTAATATGAAGCTCCCATTGAGGTTGGCGTAGAAACCATGTAGATAAGGCCTATGTCGCCCCGACATAGGATAGCAATTGCGCCTCATACATTGATTACTGCAGGCTTACAGGCGCCGTTGAGGGGATATTGATATATGGGCCATAGCAGCCAAAGTACTACAGTATATCATCCAGTTTATACAGTTTCATTTCTTAGTCCACCTCTGGTTTCGCAGTATAACCTTTATGGAGCCATACAGATATCTGCTGAGTATAAATATTGCATTATATCAGACAGATAAATGAAGGATATCATGATATGTGCTTGCTTATATGTGCCTTGTGTGCCTACATAATTCCTTATAACAAAGTATGCTGCGTATTATTGTTTCTTTCCTTGGTTGAGATAGTCCCCACTGAGCTTTATTTGCCTCAGCGAGGTTACCTGTTTAACTCGCCAGTTTTGAAGACTGGTCCGGAGAGGGTCCGTTTACAACTGCTGCCGCTTCATCTGTAGAAGACCATCTTCAGGGAGAAACTCATTTTGTTATTTTCTTTTGGCATTTGTACAGGCACAGACAGTTGGGCCCAATTCCATTTTTGAACAGTATTCAGTGTCTTGTAAATATTCAATACCATTATTACTATAAGCTAGCTCAGCATGACTTATTAGATTCATTATACATTATGATTTCAGCAGGTCAGTTTCATTCAGTCAACTCAGTTGTTGTAGCGTCTCGGCCTCCGGTTTTTATTCGGGTTCTGACGGGTGGACGAGACAGGGGTGTTTACAGCCCCACCATATTATTTGTGTTCTTTTTATACATAGAATTTGAGTTCCTGGGAATATACTGATAATCAAAAAACGCATTGGATATACCCAAGGGTGTGAAGAAAGGGTCATACAATAATACATTCAAAGATTCGGTATATGAACACTTCTCCTGGATTAGGCTATATAATGGGATTTAAATAATGAGATAAAAGAAAGGTCTCAGGAGTAATGATTTCCTCAGAGATACCTCTTTGACTGCCTACCACTTTTTTAAACCAATTTGGAATTTTTAACAATACAGTTTGATATGTTGATCAAAATATAACTAACCACGAAGGCATTAGGTAGTAGGATTTTGGATACAAAAAAACTTCTTTCCCAAGCTTCTTTATAGTCCAAAATAATTATAGTAGGATTATGTTATGTAAAACTTTAAATCTTACTGGAGTATATAAAGAAGATACGGGGCCAATCCGGGATGAATGACGGCCTTTTTATATTGAATAGAAGAATAAGTAAGTACATTTATTTTAATATCAAAAGATGGTTTGAATTTTTACTGAACCCAGTATCAATTAAAATATTATATAATATTCCTTGAGGTTTTGAAAGGATCAATGGCGAACAAAATACCAATTCCCTCAGGGTGAATACCTGCTTTATAAATTTTCCACAAGGATTGATATGATTATATCCATCCTCAACTTCAATTTCATAATCATAAAATATTTTTACCAAACCCATTTTATGTATACTACTAAGGACTAGAATGACTGATTTTTGGCAAATCCCAGCCATTCAACGGCGATTTGATAAATCTTTACTGCTACCTTTGAACAGACTAGCTCGTACCGATGAGCGGATACGACGCTTTAGGTTTAGAAGTCATACGTGTATCCTTACTGTGGAAGAAGCATGTCATTCCTCTGCAGACGCCTTTAATACTTTCTGGAGATTGAGTGAGTTCCCTCAATCCATTTTTTAGGTTTTAGAAGGGGTGTTTACTAAAAGGTTTTTAGTTGAGAATCTTCAGAATGCTCAGAAAGAGCTTTAGTGGGTGAATCGGTTCTTGTTTAGGTTCTTTGCCCTTATCCTTCTTCTTTCCCATTGTTCTGTAAGAATTCTTCGAGTCAGAAAGTTTGATATTATTAGCATTACCGTTAATATTACTCAATATCAAATTCAAAAATAACTTAATAGTGCTTGCCATTTAAGCAAAAATTGTTTAGAGGCAAGATTTTTGGAACATCTTTTTTGTAAAAACATCTTTTGCAGATTTACAAATCAATCACGAAGTAAAAAACTTATTGATTTAACAAATCAGATTGAAACTCTATTATTCTATACAATCCTATACTTAAAATTTTTTTTTAAGAGGTAGAATAGTTTATCCGTGTCTGGGTTTCCAATGTCCAGACGATATACATTGAATTACACCGTTCTTTACCATTTATTGTTGTTTTAATATGCCTCCATAACCTATATTAGTATGCATCGATTTCCCGTACAATTTTTAAAGGCAGTTGGATTAGGAAATATATAAATAAGGAATTTCTTTACCTAATGATATTAATTTGTTTTACCAATTGCGTTATGCTTGTGTCCAGGGACCAGCATTTTTCCTAAGCGCTCTATCATGTAAAGGTTTTATCATACAATTAAAATTAGTGATAAAAAATCAATGACATAATGTAATACAACCAAGGAAATCTCCTGAAGTTGAACTTTATTGTTATTTCATACAGGAAATTTTTCTCCAAATTACTAAAGTCCTTTTCTATAGGTTGTAATATTCCATCATTCAATATAATGTGCCTAAAAAATCTGACTTTTAGTTTTAGATAAAATCCATTTGAGTTTTACTAAGTGTAAAACATTTTTCTAAGTAAATCATACAGAAAGTTTTTTAAATGTTTAAAATGATTTTCAATAGTGTGGACTAACACAACACATCATCAATATAAGACTATACAAAACTGCGCGGCAATATGGGTTAAAATATATCATTCATTATTCTTTGGAATTCTGGAAGGTGCCATTTTTAATCCAAATGCACATTACATTCCAATCTTCATATTGCACCGAAAGAACTGTAAATGCTGTTTTATATCTATCTTTAGGGGCAATTTGTATTTTGCCAAATAACCTGGATGTCATGTCAAATTTACTAAAAATATTAGCAATTATATAATGTTTTTTTTTAGGAAGATCTTTATTTATTTGGAATTGGATATCTTATCGCATTTTAATGCGTGTATTTAAAGTTTATAGTTTATTACTAATCTTGCCGTTACTCCTCTTTCTATTTCTGCATTTTATTTAACATTAAAATGCCCGCACATGACCATGGGCTTCTTTGACTTACAATTAATTGTTTATTTCTAAATTCTTTTTGATTTCTTTTTTACAATTGTTCTATTTAATTCAGAGATTCATCTGGAATGGTCTAGCTTTAGATTGTAATGGTTCTTCATCAAAAGTGTTTCATATGGTAACATCAACTATGTGACTGTTTTTACGATTCCAAAAAAACATTTTGGGGTGATCTGCAAAAGTTTTTTCTCCATAGAATCTTTTAGGGTTATAATCTTTTAGGTTTTTTATTTTATTTTGTATGAATTCAGTTTCTAATTGTTCTTTAATTCTTTTTAAACACATATTATTCTTTAAATCTTTTAAATCTTCTTCTTTAGATTTTATTAATGAATTAATTTCTAAGGTTCTAATAGAATGAGCTTTTAATAAATTTAAATTCTTTTTCTTAGGTTTCTCTGTAAATTCCAATCTAGCTATTTTATTTCTTACTTTGAATTTAATACAATTTTCCTTAACTGAATAAGGTGTGATCAGATTTATAAAAGGTGTTCCTAAAATTACCATATAATTTATCTGAGGAGAGATGAGAAAGACTGTTTTTATTTCTAACCCTTGGTTTACCATTAATGCTTCTACCTTGCCTACTATGTCTAATTTAGTTTTATTAGCTGTACTTAGTTTTTCTTTAGTATCTAACCAATGTCGTTTGGGTACTATATCTGATTTTATACAATTTAAAACAGGCTCTTACCTCCAGGATGGCCTACAGGCTGAGGCCCTGTGTGCGTAAGCTGGGTTCTAGAAATCGAGAGGCAACAAGCGTAAAAAGCTGCTTTGAGGTACCTCAGGTTGTCACGGTCCTCGGACTATGTGGATTTGTTGGTAAGAGCCTGAGGTACCTGGTTTATTTCGTCTTTTATGTCATCATCTGGTTCTTTAGAAGAAGAACTAGATATAAGCTGAGATTTTAATAATTTTATTTTCTTAGCATGTTGTTGAGATTGTGTTTTTAGTTCATTTACTTCATGCTTTAGAGTTTTAATTTCCTTTTGTAATTCTTTATTGGAGAGTTCCACTTCTATATTTTTATGTTTATTTTTGTTATTTTGATTAATAATGCTGGTTAAATTTAAAATCATAAGTATTATTAGGCTGGGGAGTTTAGGGAGTTATCTCTTTTACTTCTTTTTCTTTCCTTTTCAAAACTTTTTTTATTAATTTTAAGAAGTGAGCTTTAGGCTTTAGCATTAATCAGTATATTGATTTACTTAACGCTGTCTAAACAGAAGTTACTTTGATCTTAGTAAGCATATTATAGATACTTGTCTGAAAAGACTAGTTGTCTGTTCCTAAGCATTCTAGACTTATAGAAGAAGATGGCTAAAGAGTTCACATTTAAACTCCAGGCTCTACCCTTTCTTATAGGTCAAAAAATCTGTATATATATATGAAATAACACCGAATATTTTCAAAGATTTTTCATTGTTAAATTTATATAAATTGACAGCGTGGAAAATGTAGTCTAATATGTTAAATGCAATTAATAATTCGTACAGATTAAACCGAATGCGGAAACCAATTAGAAAGTAAAAAAAAAAGAAAATCATAGTAAAAAATGCGACGTATGGCGAACGAACCCGGAATCGAACCGAAACTAGCCCAAAATCCACCCAAATCACATCTAGAACCCTCTTTCTCCCCCTATTTCCAGTGCATTACTTCACCCTCCCCTACCACCATTCTGTGCCTCCACCTGTTACGCCAAGGTGAGCACCACCACAGCCTTTCTCTCCCACTTTTCTTCTTCTTTCTTCTTCTTTTCTTTCTTTTATTTCTTTTCTTTCTTTTATTTTCTTTCTTTCTTTCTTCCTTTCTTCACTGCGCCTGCATTTCTGGTGAGACAGAGCAACAGAGCCGCGCCACCCACGCCATCGTGCGCCACCGGTGCTCCTCGCCGCAACTGGCCGCCGTAGCAGCTCCGCCAGCAGTCTCGCCTTACCCTCGGCCAGATCGTGCAGCGCCAGCTCCTCCTCTAGCTCATCGCGCCACCTGCTCGCAGTTCCAGTGAGCGCAGCAACTTAGTTTGGTCGACTCAACGCCATTGCTCTCACTTGCTCTTAGTTCCGGCACGCGTAGCTCCCTTTTTCCAGTCGAACAATTCCGGCAGCAAGATTTTGGAGGTTTATAAAATTCTGAAATGCGAGGACAAAGGCTGGAAGCACGTGGCTAGAAAGGCAGTCCCCTTAGAAGACAATAAAGATTTGTGAGTAGTGTTATAGATAATTCGCGCTCATCCGCCTGCATTCATGCATTCACGGTTAAATGTATTCATTGCATTACGCCATATTGTGATGCACTATTGTTGATATTAAAATTGCATTGATTTATTGTGCTGGATATTGTGTGTGGCCGTTGTTTGGTGGGAAGTTGAATTGGGATGGAACGTGGGTCACCATGGGTTTGTGAAGGTAGTGATATGGATCCTGAATACTGGATTGACTGTAGCCGGTTGTAAATGGCAGAGATCGGCCCCCCAGTGTGACATACCTACGTATAGCCAGTTACGTAATAACCACAAAAGCGTTGGCTTCTTTAATTGACGCCCACCGGATAAATCTAGGTTTTGATCGCAGGCCCGCCAGGGGGCCTCCTGTTGTGGAGCGCCTGATGATCTAGAATTTTGAAGGGAGGACGACCGGGTTGCCCTCCTATTGGTATAAAAAAAAAAAAAAAAAAAAAAAAAAAAAAAAAAGAGAGAGAGAAAGAGAGAATGGAAAAAACAATTGAGAGGGCTGCCGTCAATGTGAGGATTGAGGACGGTCGGCCAGAAATAGTGGGATCGGCTCCCTGGGTGCACACGTGAAGAGGATGGGCACATTGTGGGAGGACGGCTCATCGGGGGTTTTCGGTGACTTTCACTGACTAATTTCCACGTGATGTGATCTATGATGAAAGGTGATAATAACTTGTGATTGCTGTTGTATTAGCATTTGTGTGGACAAACTGCATGATCATAATAATTAACGGTAACCAGATAAAAAATATTTTCGCATCTGTGTGTTGTGTGGGTGTGAGAGGCGTCATCTAACCCTAACTCATTGAGATTTTGGCGTTCATCCCCTGCCTTACCTATTTTTTTTTCCACTATTTTTTTTCCAGGTAATAGAAGAAAGAAAAATCCTATGGAGTTGAGACAATAATTATAGAAGATTGTTAATGATAGAAATGACGATGTAAATGTAAATGTAGAGTTCCGCAATTGTATTCCAGTTGGGTTGTAAATAAATAATAAAAGTCCATATTAAATATACGAACTGTATTAGTGATACATAACTGAAATAAATTATTGGGCTTGCATCCACGGTTATGAATAGGAAATGACATTTGTATAATATAGGCTTACTATGGGCTTCGGGGGCCTTAAGCCCACCCAGGTCCTAGTGCCGGTCCGGCCCATGGAAACGGGTCGTGACAATATATATTGACAATATATATATATATATATATATTATATATATATTATATCATATTATTATATATATATTATATTATATTATATATATATAATAAGTTGTGTTCTTTATATATAAGTTGTGTCTCTTCCTCTTTTTTTTTACCTAATTATATGTGTATTCTTTATTTTCTTGTCTTGGTTTTTTGAAGTAAGTATTACTCTTTATGTATGTTTGTATTACCCATTAAATTTGCTCATTTCTTAATCTTCAAAAAGCTATTATGTTCAAGGGATGCCTTTTTAGCTTGCCTTATGCATTCCATAGAGTTGTTACACTTATGGTAGGTGCTCGGCTTATACATTGACTTAGGCATTTCTTTGCTTTTTTTAATACATTCCATAGTTGTGTTTATGGTAAGTGTTTGGACCATATATTGACTTAACCATTTTCATGCCTTCTTATGCGCTCTTCGTAGATATTATGTTTGTGGCAGGCGCTTCGTCTATGTGAAGGCTTAGACATTTCTTTCCCTTTTTACATGTTCTTCATAGCCTTTATATGCTCTTCATAGAGCTTATTAGGTTTGTGGCATGCGCTCAGCTTATATGTAGACTTAAGCATTTCTTAGCCTTTATATGCTCTTCATAGAGCTTATTAGGTTTGTGGCATGCGCTCAGCTTATATGTAGACTTAAGCATTTCTTAGCCTTTATATGCTCTTCATAGAGCTTATTATTACCAAGCGTGTGGCGAGGATGATAAGTGTTATTCGATTTTATTTTTTTCAAGTAGTTTTTTAGATTTTAGTTGATTGCCTATAAAGCGTGGTGGGTTTTATGAGGAGTGCTTGGACTTTAACATTTTTCAGTTACTATTTCCTTCTCTTATTTTTATTCGTAAAAGCCAAAGAACAAACTTAACTTTGCAATACCTGTTTTAACTATTCTTGAGCTCCCTAGTCTCCCATGTACACCCTATTCCTGTAGGTTTTACAAGGCTAAGTGAAAAAAAACCTTGCTTTTATCTAAATGCCCTATTGGGGTTTAATAGTAGTTTACAAGTTAGATGACATATGTTTACAAGAAATAGTGCTTTAAGTTTTTTGAATTCTATGTTCAAGGGAGTTCTGATCCATTTATGAGCTTAATTTTAAAAGTGCTCAGCCCCCATTTCTCTGTGATATCGAATGGCCCTTCCTAGTTTGGACCTAGCTTGCCAACGCCTGCTGATCCCATTTTTATCTCTTTTTTCCTCCATACTTGGTCTCCGATTTCAAATGTCCTTTTTTCTACTCTATGGTCATAGTACTTCGCCATTTGATGTTGTCGGGCTACTGTTCCAATATTTGCCTCATACCTTCTCTATTCTGCTAGGTCTAAGTTAATTCTTAGGGATTTAGAGTTTTGATCTTCACTGTAAGGTTGTATTCTGCCACTTAGCCCATTCCGACCGCTATGACAACCTCCATTCTGTACATCAGGGAGAACGGTGTCTCGCCAGTTCTTATTTCTAGGGGTGGTCTTGTCAGACCATAACACACTGTTCAGCTCTTCAGCCTAACTAGTTCCTATTTCTCTTAATGTCTTTTTAATACCCTGCAAAATAGTTCTATTTGTGACTTCTATCAAGCCATTAGTTTGAGGGTGGTACTTCACCATTTCATGTTATCAGGTTTTTGTTCTAATATTTTCCTCATACCTTCTTTCTTCTACTAGGTCTAAGTTAATTCTTAGGGATTCTGAGTTTTGATCTTTGCTGTAAGATTATATCCTCCTACTTGGTAACCCATTTCAATCGGTATGACAGCCTCCACTGTAACACCCACCGGCCAATCCCGAAGAACCAGACGGCGGATGCCACAATCGGTGCCGGAGCACCGTCTTATGTCACTTATTAAAGCTAATCGGTGACCGGAGCACCGTCTTATGGTCACTTATTAAAGCTAGCATCACCAAATTAGAAGTGGTAAATTTTCATAAGGAGCGCCAAGTACTTAACATTTTTTTTTGTTTTTTTTTTTTTTTTTACAAAAATAATATTTGAGGGAATTCCTACGAAAATTCTCAGCAAAGAGTTTCCCCTAAAAATTAACTTTGCCACACAAGAAAATATACACACTTCCCAAAATTTTTCTTCTCCAAACCCCCAAAAAACTCAATTCAACACAACATACTACATAGCACTTTCTAAATATCCATCAACATACGCATTAAAATTTCAAAAACACATTCTTTTTCAAGGAATCTATAATCATAAATACACCAAAAAATATTATTATTAAAGATGTTATTTTTCCTTAAATAATCATAATAACTCTCCAATACGCAATTATAAACTTATTATTGTCCAACCCTTTCACAACACCCATATTAATATTATACATGCCAAAAAATCACCATTTTAGCAAAAATTATTCCCTACCCAAAATGGTTTATCGAACTCTGCATGCTCGTCTGCTGGTCTTGGAAGAACACCCTCCGCTCCTAACCTGCAGCGTTGATAAAAATCAACGCGTTCTGAGTGGAAGACTCTAGTGGCTGCTAAATAACCAAAACCAATTTTTTAATTAGAACAATGAGAAGAGTCAAGGCAAAACTTAAATTTACTCCAACTATATAAAATACTGAAATCGCATGCCATTTAATTCACAATTAACAAAAAATACAAATACCAAATACTGTCTTCATTCTTTTATGAGCAACAATAAAAATTTTATTTTTCGTTTAAGTCTCGTTACTCATGCAGACATGAACATAAGCAGATTTGATCGTGGCCGTATATTTAGCAGGCCACCCCCATCACATACTCGTGGCCTATGAATAGCACCACCGTGGCCCTTATGAAAAGCACCACCCCCCATCACACAAATCGTGATCGTGGCCTATATTAGCGCCACCCCCATCGCACAATCGTGGCCTATGAAAGCACCACCCCATCACACAAATAAGCGCGTCCGCCTATTTGTAAGGGATGATAACCCTAGCATATGATCATAGCGCATATGATCATAGCTTCACAATAAGAAAATCCATATCATCATACCACGTTTCAATCATGCATAGTAGAGCCCAAATCAAAATCATTCTTTCACAAAAGCAATAAGTCTAAATCAAAACCTCTTCATTTCTTAATACTCATCAGTTCAGAATTTTACTCAAAACACTAGAGATATATATATACGTAATATAGTATAAAGTACATAAATCAAGAACTTTTCAGCATGTTCATAAACTTGACCTCTGCTGGGTTTTTAACACATAATTTGAGTTATGGGTCTCCAAATTGAATGAAATCAGATTCATTAGAAAGTTAACCCAAAATGCTACAAATGTTCAGAAGGGACACAAAAGATGTTCAGAAGGGACCACAGCCCAGATCAAACCGATTAGGTTAAGAACAGGGATCCAACCAAACAAAAAGCTACAGAACAACGAGACGCAACAGATCAGACCTTGATTCTAGCAGAACCAAGTTTCACAAATAAGGGTTTCTTTGAATTCCTACTTTCCACTCAAAAACACTCAAATGAAACCAATACCAGAACGACCGAGAAGTCCCTGAAGACCAGCAGGGAAACTCAAAACTACTTTTCAATGTAAGAACCTCAGAACCAATTAATCTTGTCATTATAGTGGTCAAAAATTGAAGTGCACTCAATTTTTCCAGTAATGCATTGAGACCGACCACCAACCCAGAGTACAGTTATGCGGGTGTTTCAAGCCATAAGTTGCCCCTCTTATGTAATTCTTCCAATTTTGGACAAAAGGAGGATGGGTTGGAAGGATAAGAAGTAAAAGCTATAACTTTTATGAAGAACATAAGACATTATTTGGCCATTTGACGTGGTCCAAAATGGACAATCATTTCGGATAGACAGGTAAGACAGGCATTAACAGAAAAAAAGAGACCAGTAATTAGGTATTCCTCGAGATTCATTAAATGGCGAGCTACAATGTATCGGAATTAGGACATGAGAGGAATATGTTCTGGAAAGCTGAAGAAAAAATAGAGCTACAACGTTCATGAAGAATCAGAAAACCACATGGGAATTGTAAAGGGGTCAAAAATGAGTTCCAATCCCACGGGCAGAACACCATCTCACATTAAAATCAGCAATTTTCAACAAAACATTTTACAAAGTTTTGTCCCAATTAATAAATAGTTCAAAAAACCTCTAACCATGTTAAAAACAACGGTGGAAACAAAGTGAAATTATGATTGCACTAACCTTATTAACAAGCTTGAATTAAGCTTGGAAAAGCCTTACTCCTTGGCTTTTCTGTCTTTACCCTTTGAGGATGGTTCTCCAACCTCTTCAAAGCATTGAAAACATCAACATTACAAGGCAAAAACTTGACAAAAGAGAAATAGTTGGGAGCATGATTTAATGCATCAAATTAACATGTCTAAACCATGAATTCTACTTAACAAATTCACAAAACTTCAAAAACCACAACTTACTTGCTTAATGGTAACTTCACTTTCTCTTTGCTTTTTAATTCACCCAAAACTCAACTTCTACTTCTTAATTCTTAAGATAAAGTACTAATCCCTATTGGTTTAATTAGGTAGTTTTGGTACCGGGTAAATTTTGGAGGTAAGAAAATGAAAGAAAGAAAGAAAAGAGGAAGAAGATGGAGATTGGCCGTGGATAAGGAGAGAGAAGAAAGAAATAAGTTGTTGTGGTGTTTACGTTTAAGTGGCCAAAGTTCAAATTTGACTTCCAAATTTCATATCAATTGTGTGGCTAAGATCAAGTCCTAAGTAATCTGCATCAAAACGGCTCTAAATATTCCTCAAATTACTCCTCCTTCTACTTATTATTTAACTCCACCAATTAATTAAATTAACCTCCACTAAAATAATTGCTCAATCATTATATTGCTTAATAGACGCGACCCACTTAG